TTTTTATTTTTTTTTTTTTAATTTTTTTTATTGGCCGCGGGTTAACCGCGGCCCGTGGGTGTGCAACCCACGAAGCCCGAGGGTGACACCTCCTTGGCCCGTGAACCGCCCGCACGAGTCACGGATCGGCCCGCGGTCCCGGTTTTCACGAGTCTGACCGGCCCGTCCGTCTTGACACCTTTAGAGTAAACCTCAAAGCCTTGAGTCGATACCATGTGTAAAGATTAGGATTTTTATAAATGTATGATACATTAATAACTTGATAGCATGTGGAATATCATGTATGACTGTGTTTAATATTATGTAAAGTGTCGTGCATATTCATATCAATATAATCAAGAATCAAGAGTACGTACGATATGTCATGCATAAATTGATAAAATACTTTATTGGTGTACTTGGATGCATTAAAATTTATCTATGTGGGATTTATATATTATATATTGCCCTTATATATATAGCTATAGGCCCAACATACCCTTAGTTGATACCCGTGGATGTATGAAAAACATTTGATTTTCACCTTTATCCTTACATATCTTTACTCGCGACAATAGATTCCCTTATTTATAAATGTATCATAATTGTTAATGATATATTGAGAGTATTTGCTATGTACAAAGAATGTTTAATTCAATTAACGATACTCATATTTAAAGAGTTACCTTTTCATTGCAGATATAAAACATCAAAATAAGAACAAACAGTATGCTTCTCTCTCGCTAGAGGATAGGAGAAAAAAAATTGAGCATTCCAGTGCATCAAAAAGAAAAAGACTTTATGAACAAAACAACAACAGTACAAGTACAAAGAGAAATACGTTCATGTCAGGCCGACATAATTCATATGAAGTTCAACGTATGCACTAATTTATTACTTTATTCTTTTTAATAGAAAAAAATCTACAATGCTAAATTTACTATAATGAATAAAGTAAATATCAAACAACAACTTGTCCAGGACAACACTTTTATGAGCCACTTCATTCTTCACAGCACGAATTGAAAGTAATTCCATCATGCGTATTTTGCAATGCAAGAAAATTTGAACATGAACCACCAACATTTTGTTGCTTCAACAGTCAATGTATTACATAACGTAGTATAATACAAAATAATTTGTCTACTTATTTCATAATATGACAATTACATGTCCATTTTTATGGCTCGAACTTTAATATATTGTAGATATAGATTATTTTAACTATACTATTTGTACGAAAAATATATAGAAGAGGAAAATAGAATTTGAAAGATTGTTTTCATTACATCCATCATTAGTAGGGAAGTGCAAAGGACATGATGCATGCGTGTGAAATACATTAGTACCATTGTGCAGGGGCCAATTTATACGAGATTTTTTATTTTTACTTAATTAAAGGTGGTATTCAAATGAGGGTATATTGGACATATATTTGCATAATTGCAATAAATGTCCTTACTTCTTACTTACCGGCATATATATGATTTCTAAACTTCCTCATTTAATTTTTAATAAATTAGTTTTTTTACGTCCTTTTAAAATTTTGATACGGTAATAATAATATAATTAAATATGTAAGGGTAAAAATCGGTATTCAAATTTCAATCCAATCACTTTTATTTTGGCATGAACGAAAGATATAGAGAAAATTAAGTACATTCATTCCTTCTTAACAATAACATTAAGGGATATATAATAGGAAAATAGATATGGATTAACATAGACTTTTGCATAATAGACAGTAGATGAACTACTTTTCTAGCTTCATTTTCTTATCCAAGTGATGGCTTCGGACTTCCTCTATTTTCTTTCCTCCATTGACGGTTTTGTATACTTCTTGCACCACAATTTGCTTCTGATCCCTATTGCTTTGACCTTTCTTGTCCATCTTCACCAAAAACTTGTATTCTTTATCTTCAATCAGCACCAAATTTCTGTAGTATCCACTTTTCTCTTTCTTCTGGCAAAAACATTATTATTAGAAGAGAAACATATATTGGAGGTTATATATTAATAGAAGTTGGATAAATTAGAAAGGCTTGGTTAATTACTGTAAAAACTTCTTTTGCATATTCGACAACACTACAACCAGCTAAGCTCTCCGCGGCATCAAATAAAGTGATTACGACTTCAGTGTAGTCATCAGAGACAATAAACTTTAAAAGGTATCTTCGTATGTATGACACGTCCTGGATGTTGCATTGACGACAGAAAGCAGTAGATTTTTCTCCAATTGGATAGCCCCTTACATTGCAGGAATTACAATTCTCAAACCATGGGCTATTCTTGTTTTGCACTTTCTTAATTTTTCCTATAAATGAGCAAAATGACTCTTCAACATTTCCAACAACTAACAAAATCTATAAAACAGTATTGTTGCTCATTAATCAGCTTTATGTTCATAATAACTTTTTGTTAGCTATAATGGTCATAATAACTTTCATATTAAATTCTCCTTATAATCGTATCCTCTTTTTCTCTCTCTCTATTCTCAGTATCTATTTACTCTCAGATTCATTGATTACCATCTCATTTTGGTTCCCCATTCTCTCTCTAAACCTTCAGTTTCTTTACAGACATACACGCATATTTACATACATATAGTTATATAAACACACACACATATATATACAGATAATAAATATACTAATTTGTTGTTAAGAAAGTTATATCAATCTTTTCGCAATGTATTTAAAGAGCAGTATCTACACACTATAATTATAGTTTGGAAAAACAGTATTGTTGCTCATTAACCAGCTTTATGTTCGAATAATATGTTGTTGCCATTGAAGAAAGCTCGATTTTATAGAAGTGTAAATTCGATTAAGAAACATTAATTCACTTGACAAATATTTTATTGTTCTAAAGAAATGTTGTGTTATTTTTCTCGAAAAACAACTTTATTCATGTCAGTGTTTTTTAAAAAAAAAATTATGAATTGTACACAAATCAATATTCTATTTTTCTTTTAGCATACGAAATGTGATATAAGCATATAAATGTTTTAAAACGATATATTTGAATATACGGAATTGATCTTCTAAGCACATCGAGGGACGTGGCACACTATAATAGATTGTGTAATTAGTTTTGTCACCAATCAATATCTCCGACCACTTATTATAGTATGTCATGTCACCAAAGTTCAATTATGAAGATTAACTCAATGGACTAATTAATATTATCTTCGTTGCACAACATTAGTTATTTTATGTTACTTTACAATGCACTCAAATGGCCCCTGCAAGTTATACACAGCTTGCTGAATTGCAGCATTTTAATTGAAGCATCTGATTGAAATAAATTGTCAGAAAATAGAACCATATTTGTATTTGTTAATCATTACAACATTATGAAAATAATAGGAGTGTTTGGACTATGTTTTCCATAAAATCAAGAAGATAAAAGTAAATGTGCAAAAATTACACCCTTGAGATGGGAATTAAGCACAGCTGGACTATACAGAAGTCCAATCACAACTACGTACTGGCATGATCCGATTTCTTATATAATTCTATTACTTTTGAGCATTCATTAAATTTAAAATGATAAAGAATAAATATTTGAGCCGGCGAATGCACCATCTTTATTTGTAAACTGAACAGGGAGATAGAAATATAAAACATGCATAATACACGTAGAAACACCACATTTGCAGTTTTTTTAACATAGATGAAAATCAGATTAGATTTTTGTCTGGCGAGCGTGACATATAATAGTATAGGGAGGCCTGCACGTTTGAGTTGTCAATCTTCCCATCAATAATCAGTCTTTTTTTTACTATCTAGGTTGATGTAGATTAAATATTATAAATTATGTCTCTCCATGTATATCAATTTGCTAAAAGAAAGCTACACATTTTGCATATTCCTTGTCGAATAACCTGATATTGTAGTTTGAACCCTTCAACTCTAGAAGCCCTTTGCCTCCTTTTGACCGATTAACAAAGGAGCTGACGTGGGTAAGGAACAACCAAGGCTCTGTCCTCATTGGATTGTTCTGGTAATCTGGTACGCAACTGTAATCCATTTATATCTAGTAAAATCTAACAAGTTTTAAATTTAGTATCAGACTTAGAAGTGATTCAAATGTTCTAACAAAGATCAAGAGAGACTTTAATATTGTTCTAATCACTCTTTACATGTGAAGTAATTGTTACAGCTTTCATTCCACAACACTAGCCACTTGATTAGACAGATTTCTCGATCATAGTTTCCCAAAAAGGTTTAGACGGAAACCAATTAAAATTCATCTTGGATATCTTGCCTATTATTTGTATATGCTATGACATTCACATGAACCCCCTTCCACTCACCCTCAGAAACCAAAATTATTAAACAGATAAGCAATAAGAAATCAACATAACTACACATGTACACCAGAACTATATTAAGAATATCGGATAACTATTAAAAACTTAAATCTCAAAAAATAACAGACTTCATACTCTGCTACCCAGAGAGAAGTTCATTATAAAATAAAAAAGAACTCTGTCAGCAAACATTCTGTGAAAAATGTCAAAAAGACAGAGCTTATTTTCATCTTATTATCTCAAGCCCTCAATATAAACCCTTCATAAATAACAGAGCCAACTTAATTTATGAAAGCTAGAAGCTTCAATTACCTTAACGTGACTGAAGAAGAAAGTGGTTGATTATTCTACAATTTGATTTCCGGGAAATATGGATTCTAGACCTTCGTTGAAACCTAGAAATGAAATAGTCCATCCATGGCACTTATACAAGCTAACTTTCCTTATTTTCTTGTCACAATTATATAGTCCCTTTTTTTTTAATTGAAAATATTTTATTTTGTTCGTTTACTAATATATCTTTATTTAATTTACTTAATTGTAACCAATTTACTACTAGTTGTTGATAATTAAACAAGAATAAACTAGGAAAGTTTTTGACAAAAATTACTTTTTCAATAATATTAAATAAAATTTCTTAATTCGTGTGAAAGACAAAACTAGCCTATATATATGGAATGAAAAGTGTAATTTTTTTTTGTGGGTTTTAGCTTCGTTTATAATGATTCAATCAATTAAACTTTGGGTTAATTACTTGAATGGTCACTGAACTTTATCAAGTGTTACTACTTAGTGGTTGAACTTAAAAATATATCTCAATGTTTACTGAATTTCGTCAAGTGTTATTACTTCATAATTGAACTTAAAAATGTATACAATTGTCACTGAACTATTCATCGTGTTACTTATCTATTACTCAAATGAAAAATCCATTAGGTT